AAACATGTAAATTATCATATGTGAAACGAAACACCAGTCCAGGTTCGATGCATGATACAGGGTGCTTGGGGCTGGTGCACTGGGATGACCCAGAGGGATGGGATGGGGAGGGAGGTGAGAACGGGGTTCAGGATGGGGAACACATGTACATGCATGGCGGATTCAAGTCAATGTATGGCAAAACCAATGCAATATTGTAAAGTAAAATTAAAAAAAAAAACCCTGTTAAATACACTTGTGGTGGTTTAGTTGTAAGTCATGTCTGACTCTTGCCACCCCATGGACTGCAGCCCGCCAATCTCCTCTGTCCATGGGATTTTCCAGGCAAGAATACTGGAGTGGGTTGCCATTTCCTTCTCCGGGGGATCTTCCAGACTCAGGAATTGAACCCCAGTCTCCTGCATCTCAAGCAGATTCCAGCACTGCAAACAAATTCGTTACTGACTGAGCTACAAGGGAAGCCCAACATGTGTTGAGTTTCTGTTTTAAATTCAAGCGCTAGAGTGAGACATTTCATTCTGCCTTAAATCATAAATGACTAACATTTGAATTCTGAAATAGAGGGGACAAATACCTTTTCATATGCTTATTTTCTGAAGTGACTGTCAAGTCTTTTATCTATCTATGTTACCTTCTGATAAACTAAGTTATCTGTCTTTTTCTTACTGATTTGTAGTTATTCTTTATATTTTCTGCATACTAGTTCTTTGTTGGATAAATGTATTATAAGTATCTTCCCCAAATCTGTGGCTTGCTTTTTCACTTGCTTATGGCATCTTTTGATTGAGACCGTGTCTAGTACATTGGATACCTCTGTACAAATTATAAAAATGCTCCCTTTCTAATGGCTTGGTAAGTGTAATGTGGGCTGAATTTCAACTTTCACTTGCTCTGTGAGATGTCTTTGTGCAGATTACCTATATAATATATTACATAACAGTGGCAGCTCTGCTTTTGATTATCCAAAATTCTAAATTTTAATATAGTCAAATTTATCACTTCTTTCCTTTATGTAGTCAAATTTGTATCACTTTTTTCTTTCTTTTATAAAAAGTTAGTATTTGTATTTTACTTAGAAAGACTTCCATTACTCCAATGTTGCGATGATATATTTCTTTATCTTATAGAACTTAACGGTTTGGATTTTAACATTTAGATGCACCTTTCTTTAATATTTCTGATAAATAATAAAGTGTAATGTAGGAAATGGCAACCTGCTCTAGTATTCTTGCCTGGGAAATACCATGGACAGTTGCTAAGTTGTGTCTGACTCTTTGCGACCTGATAGATTGAAGCACGCCAGGCTTCCCTCTCCTTCACTATCTCCTGGAGGTTTGCTCAAACTCATATCCATTGAGTCAGTGATGTCATTCAACCATCTCATCCTCTGTCTCCCTCTTCTCCTCCTGCTCTCAATCTTTCCCAGTATCAAGGTCTTTTCCAATAAGTTGGTTCTTCACACCAGGTGGCCAAAGTATTGGAACTTCAGCTTCAGTATCAGTCCTCCAATGCATTCTTGCCTGGAGAATTCCATGGGCAGAGGAGCCTGGCAGGCTATAGTCCATGAGGTCACAAGGAGTTGGACATGACTGAGTGACTAACACACAGGAAGATGTTAGGCAATTTGATACCGTAAAGATGGAATTGAGAGAGAGATAAAATGCCAGGTGATTGCTTTGATATGTGTCTTCTAATTCTGTGAAAACTTCCTCTCACCTTTAGAACAGTGAAGCCACAAGCAGGGCTCAGAGAGGGCTTTCTGTGCTAATATTTTCTTCTGTATGTCTGCTTTTGTTCTTTGTTCATCATGCCAACCAAGCAGCTCAACCTTCAGGCATAGCTAGGTTTCAAACTGACATCTCATGGACTCTAACACCCTTGCTCTTTGCCATGTTGAACAATGTCTTGAGGTGCTAGCAGTGAACATGTAGGCAAGGCCTGGAGGGACTCGATGGAGAGGATTAGGACATGTTCTGTCATATTTTGAGATCATATCTGGAAGGTTTGGACAGTCATGGAACAGAGCAGTGTCTGACCCAGAAAGGAGTAGCCTTTGACCAGAGAGAATTGTGACCCTCTACCTCCCTTATATTTCCCCTAGGGCTATGATAGGTCACTGAATTTAATCAAGAAACATTTATTTGGCTTCTTTGCAAGCTTAAATGTTTCTGGCAGAGATATGCTAGTAGCTAGTATATCCTTAGACCAAGAGTACCCTGAGGGTGAGGCTATTTCCTCCTGCAGGATGAAGAGCTCGGTTCCTTCATCTGTTTCAAAAGACCACAGCTCCCCCACCAACCCGGGTGCTGCCCTCTTTATGCTTCTTTCTTTGCACACTCAAGCTTGGGAAGGATGACTTCTGTGCTGCTGTACTCTCCTGTTTCCAAGGACACTGTGAACACACCAACACGCTTACCTATTCTTATCATGTTTGCCACTCCAAGTTCTTCCTAAGAAAAAGCAAGAAATATGCCATTCCCCACACCCTTATGGCTGCTATACTCATGATGCGTTGTTACTCTGAAATAGAACTGGTGGAAAACTTGGGATATAGATTGGGCTGGCAAAGATGAGAGCAGGTTAGGCCTCCTTTCACTCTTGCTACCTAGGGGCTTTCATCTTCCCAGCCTGTCTTTCACTGGCCTTTTTTGGAGGGCATCAGGTTCTGTCAGTGGCCTCTTGCTATGTGCTGGGAAACAACTGTCTCCTGCCCTGAAGTGCTGTTTTTCCAAGGCTGATGATATGGGTAGCCATATCTTGACATAATTTAAAAAAAAGTAGTTCCCTAATGTTGCTTAAAATGATTGTTTTCCTAATTTTGCATCCCCTTCCTTCTTTATCATTATTATCCATAACTTCAAGATCCTTTCCGCATTTTCACAGAGGACATTGGCTCAGGCTAACTTTCCTCCTCAACCCTGGCCATTCTCCTGTACTGTGGTATGGATCATTCATGAAAATGATCTATCCAGCATCTTTGTTTAAGGGTTGTTTGCCTTCTTCAACATCAGTGACATATTCTCTATACAGTCCAGGCTGCAAATACGTGATCATACCCTAGATCATCAACCATAAATGCACCACCTCTGAAGTTTATTTTAGTAGCTCTCTTTCAAACTGTCTTATTCCTTCCCCATAACATAACAGTCCCTACTTTTATATCTCATGATGACCTCTTGGCCTGTCATCTTTCTTCCATTGTTCAGAATCCTCCTGTCTCCCCTGCCCGTCACACGTTGGATGGTAGGGAGCTCAGTGGCCCTCTCTCCAGTACTCCTGTCCTGATGTACCCTGCTGACAGCTGGGTGAAAGCTGTTCCCAGACTGCTAAGTGTCTCTAGAGAAACATCACAGCTGTGCACTTCGGTACACATCTTCACTCCTTCTCTCTGCATCCAAAGAAGAGGGTTCTTTTTCTCAAGACCCAACATTTCTGCTTTGCTCTTGTTCCCATATGTCTCTCCTTTAATGGATCATCCTTTAATTTTCTCTCAACTAGTTCTCCTCTCCCTATGAGGCAGGTAATATTATTATCTCCCTTTTGCAGACAAGGAAACAAATTCAGAGAGAACTCCAAGGTTGTCCCACAGTCCTCCCAACCTGTAAGTGGCTAAGCCAAGAATCAAACCCAGGTCTTTTCCTCCCCCAGTGTCACATTTTTTTTCTCCTCTGCAAAGTTTACCCACATCCTCTTGACCACCTTACCTTCCACCTAACTGCTGTCTATTCCCCTCCATAAACTTCTGTCTTGATGCACTCAGAATCATGGCAGTTCATTTCAGTCTGCATTCCGAGGCATTAACATCAATTGACTAATGCCTATGCCTCCTCTAAAAGGTAAAGTCCATGAGGGCAAGAACCACACTGTGCTCATCATAGTATCCCCAGGACCCGAGGAAGGGAATTGCCCTTGTTAAAGTACTCATCAACTTCCAGCATATTACTTAGTCAAGTCCTCATTCTCCTTGACCCACTAGAGGACTAAAACCTGCCAACCACTCCAACCTTCTTAAAACAGTCAGGAGTCTGTTGGCTTTGGTGAGGCCATTCTGTCCTTGTTTTCCTCCTTCCTCCCTGATTCCTACACACAAATTCAACCTTTAGAAATCTCTTCCCTCTCCCTACCTCTCTTCATCCCAGTGTCTCTACTCAGGTCCAGGCTACCATTGTCTCTAGTGTCACAGCCTCCAGGCTTGTTTCCCTCTAATCCACACTCTACTGTGACTGCAGAGTGACCACTGTGAATCACAAGTGTGGTTTTGCCACTTCTCTGCTTCAGAGTCTTCAGTAGCTGCCTGGAGTTAAAAACTCAAACTTCTTACCATGACAGATAAGGCCTTTTATCATCTGGCCTCTACTTATCCGCCCTCCGACCCACCCTCACTTCCCACCAGACCCCCGTACTCCCTCTGTGGGGGCTGCTGTGGACTTTCTGATCTCTATGCGTGCCTCTGTGGCTCACCATGCTGTTTCTCTGGGCTAGCATGCCTTTTTTCTTTCCATCTCCTTCGTCTCCAGCAAACACCTTACCTTATCCTTCAAACACAAGCCAGATTCACCTTCTCTGTGAAGTGTTCCATGTCAGTGATTGCCCTTACTATATGTTTCCACAGAATTTTGTTCATAAAGCTATTATTGACCATTACATGCCTTTACAGCTTGCTAGATTGGAACCTCTCTGAGGGGAGAAACCAATTTTTTTCTTTCGTTTCAAGTGTGTGGCTAATGTGACATGTATACTAGATGTCTGGTGAATGAATGAATGAATGAAAATTACATGCATTAAGAAGGGGAGAAAATTGAGAAACCAGTGATAGAAGCTTGTTTTGAAGTTGGTTACTGTGGAACTCTGGATGAATAACCAGTTTTCAGAATATGCCTAGTAGATTCTCAAAGATGACTGTAGACAGCCAAAGCCAACATACAGCAGGGATGGATCACTTGCACATTTACCTACGTGATAGTGAGAGTTGATTAGTAGGGCCTACAAGCCATGGAGAGTCAGGCAGGAAGTTCCCTATGTGAGGGCAGGGGCTGGAGCTTCTCACTGGAGACCTGGTGTTGTGCCCGTTGGAAGAGAGTTGCCAGGTGCTGCCTGATTTCCTTGGTCCTGGCCCCATAGATGATGGGATTAACCAGACATGGAAGCAGCAGGTAGAAGGCACTGAGCAGGTTGTGCACATCCTGGGAGGCAGTGCGGGCCACGCGGTAGACAATGGACGAGGACATGGTGGACGAGTAGATGGTGAAGATGACCAGCAGGTGGGAGCCACAGGTGTTCAGGGCCTTGGAACGTGCTCTGCCTGATGAAATTCGAAAGGCAGCATGGATAATGCGGGAGTAGGAGGCTCCTAGCAGCAGCATGTCCAGGACTCTGTTGAAGATGCGGACAGTGAGCCCCACAGTCTTGTTTAGGGAGATATTCCCACAGGAGAGCTTCATTAGGGCCATGTGCTCACAGGCAAAGTGATGGATCACGTCTGAGCGGCAGAAATGAACCCTGGAGGCCAGCACCACCACTGGAGCAACGATGCAAGTGCTCCTGGCAGCTGCCGCCCCCAGGAAGCCAGCCAGCAACTGGCCTGTCACTATCTCCGAGTAGCAGAGAGGGTAGCAGATGGCGACATAGTGGTCCAGGGCCATGACCAGGAGGATGTTGCAATCAAAGACAATGAGGAAGTAGATGCAGAACATCTGGACTAGACAGCGAGCCAGGGAGATGCGGCTGAATCAGGAGGAGAAGCTGAGCAGCATGGCAGGCACCACGGTGGTGGCGGCACAGATGTTGACAGCCAGGAGCAGAGCTATGAGCAGGTACATGGGCTGGTGCAGGCTTCTCTGGGCCACCACCGTGTGGATGACCAGGGCGTTGACAGAGACGATCACCAGGTAGATGCTGAGGAAGGGCAGCACCAGGAGGGCTCGGGACTCCTTTAGCCCCGGGAAGCCCAGCAGGATGAAGCTAGTATAGGACAGGTTAGAGCTGCTGTTGGTCCATGATGACATCTTCCCTGGGGAATGGGATGGCTCTGGGGAGAAAAAAGGAGTAGGAGGCCTGGTTTCTGCACCTACTAGGGCTTGCCCCAGCTTTCCTAGGCTTTGAACTTCATGAATCTCCAATATCCCTGGTTTCTGTACCCACTAGGGCTTGCCCCAGCTTTCCTAGGCTTTGAACTTCATGAATCTCCAATATCCCTAGAGAAAAAAATGACAGACTAAAGGTCATTATTTAATGAGATATGCATCTGTGGATAAATCTTTGCATTTCAAATAAATTATTCAGGGTAGATGTTAGATGTAGAATTATTGTATCATATAATATGAACATTTATGAAGCTGCAAGCTGATTTCCAAGAAAGTTGTCTGTCTTGTCACTGGTGCTAGTACTAAATTGCCTTGAGTAAAAAAAGAATATTTGATGCTTTGATGGCTGAAAAATACTCCCTCATTTTAACTTGCATGTTGTTTTTTAGTTGTGGCATGTGGGATTTAGTTCCCACATGTGAATTTTCTACTCCTATCTTTTGCCCATGTACTACTAGGGATTGTTTCTGTTAGCAGTTTAAATATTAAAGCCATTGTTTCCCCTTTTATCCATTGAAACAGATTTTCCAAATCTTGTTAGTATTGTTTTAAAAATATTTATTTGTTTATTTATTTAGGTTGTGCTGGGTCTTAGTTGCTGCACATGGTGTCTTTAGTTGTGGCATGTGGGATTTAGTTCCCTGACCAGGGATTGAACTTGGGACCACTGCATTGGGAGTGTAGAATCTTAGCCACTGGATCACCAGGGAAGTCCCTTGTTAGTATTTTTATCTTATTTATGATATTAAGACTAAGAGTTTTAAATTTATAAAATTAAATCTATCAACACCTCTTTGTGAGTTCTCTTCTTGGTTTACTAGAATGAGCCTCATTCAAAGATCAAAAAAATAGTATACTATATTTTGTTCTTCTTTAAAGCATGGCTTATTTTTTTTATTACGTTTTGATATACATGAAATTCACTTTGCTATGTGACATTAAGTCATGATTTAAGTTGATATTTTTCTCTCAGGTAGCTAAATAATTGTTCTTATTTCATTTCCTACACTTCTTTGTATTACAATCTTTATCCTGGATTAAGTTCTTACATGTGAAGTGGTTGTTTTATAGGTAGTGATATTCTGTTTGTTCTTGTGCCAATGCCGTGCTATTTTATATTTTTAAAATTTATTTATTAATTTTTAAAAGTGTACCATGCTATTTAAAAAAATAAAGCTCTATTGAGATATAATTCACATACACACACTGACATGTACAATTCAATGGTTTTTAGTAAATTCACAAAGTTGTGCAACCATTACCACAATCAACATTGTCATCACCCCAAATAGAAACCTGGTATCCCTCTTTTTCCCCAACCCCTTCAGCCCTATGTAACCAATCACTAATCTACTTTTTGAGTCAGTGAATGTGCCTACTTTGAACAATTGATATTAATGGAATCATACAATATATGCTCTTTTATGGCTGTTTTTTCTCACTTAGCATAATGTTTTTAAGGTTCATCCATGCTATAACATGTATCAGTATGCCATTCTTTTTTAATGACTGAATAATATTCCATAGCATGGCTATATCACTTTTTATCAATTCACTCATCAGCTGATAGACATTTGGGCTGTTTCCACATTTGGGGTAATATGAATAAAGCTCTCTGAACACTCATGTACAAGCTTTTGTGTAAACATGTTTTCATTTCTCTTGGAAATACCTACGAGTGGAATTGTGGAACCACCACAATTGAGGAACTACCAGATTGTTTTCCAAGGCAACTGCACCATTTTAAATTCATACCAACAATGGATGAGTGTTCCATTTTATCCATATCCTCGCTAATACTTATTACCTGTCTTTATTATTCTAGCTATCCTAGTGGTTTTGATTCGTGTTTTTCTTTTACTTTTGTTCTGGCTTTGTGGTGCAGCATGTGAGACCTTTGTTGCCTGACCAGGGATCCAGGCAGCACCTCTTGCTTTTAAAGCAGAGTCTTAATCACTGGACCAAGGAAAATCCCTGATTTGTGTTTTTCTGAGGGTTATAGTGTCGAGCATCTTTTCATGTGCATATTGGCCATATGTATTTTTTTTAAGAAGTGTCTATTCAAATTCTTTGCCCATTTTTAATCGAGTTGTCTTTTATTACTAAGTTGTAAGAGAGTACTAAGAAAGGCAATCCCAAAGAATGCTCAAACTGCTGCACAATTGCACTCATTTCACACGCTAGTAAAGTAATGCTCAAAATTCTCCAAGCCAGGCTTCAGCAATACATGAACCGAGAACTTCCAAATGTTCAAGCTGGTTTTAGAAAAGGCAGAGGAACCAGAGATCAAATTGCCAATATCCACTGGATCATTGAAAAAGCAAGAGAGTTCCAGATAAACATCTATTTCTGCTTTATTGACTACGCCAAAGCCTCCGACTGTGTGGATCACAATAAATTGCAGAAAATTCTGAAAGAGATGGGAATACCAGACCACCTGACCTGCCTCTTGAGAAACCTGTATGCAGGTCAGGAAGCAACAGTTAGAACTGGATATGGAACAACAGACTGGTTCCAAATAGGGAAAGGAGTACATCAAGGCTGTATATTGTCACCCTGCTTATTTAACTTATATGTAGGGTACATCATGAGAAACGCTAGGCTGGATGAAATACAAGCTGGAATCAAGATTGCTGGGAGAAATAACAATAACCTCAGATATGCAGATGATACCACCTTTATGGCAGAAAATGAAGAGGAACTAAAGAGCCTCTTCATGAACGTGAAAGAGGAGAGTGAAAAAGTTGGCTTAAAGCTTAATATTCAGAAAACTAAGATCATGGCATCTGGTCTCATCACCTCATGGGAAATAGATGGGGAGACAGTGGAAACAGTGTCAGACTTTATTTTTTTGGGCTCCAAAATCACTGCAGATGGTGATTGCAGCCATGAAATTAAAAGATGCTTACTCCTTGGAAGGAAGTTATGACCAACCTAGATAGCATATTAAAAAGCAGAGACATTACTTTGCCAACAAAGGTCCATCTGGTCAAGGCTATGGTTTTTCAAGTGGTCATATACGGATGTGAGAGTTGGACTGTGAAGAAAGCTGAGTGCCGAAAAATTGATGCTTTTGAACTATGGTGTTGGAAAAGACTCTTGAGAGTTCCTTGGACTGCAAGGAGATCCAACCAGTCCATCCTAAATGAGATCAGTCCTGGGTGTTCATTGGAAGGACTGATGCTGAAGCTGAAACTCCAGTACTTTGGCCACCTCATGCGAAGAGTTGACTCTTTGGAAAAGACCCTGATGCTGGGAGGGGTTGGGGGCAGGAGGAGAAGGGGACGACAGAGGATGAGATGGCTGGATGGCATCACCGACTCGATGGGCATGAGTTTGAGCAAACTCCGGGAGTTGGTGATGGACAGGGAGGCCTGGCGTGCTGCGATTTATGGGGTTGCAAAGAGTTGGACACAACTGAGCGACTGAACTGACTGAACTGACTGAAGAGAGTACTGTATTATATTGATTACTATAACTTCAGCATTTATTTTAATTTCTAATAAAACTTATCTATACAAGTACTTTTGTTAAATTTTTTTGTTATTCTTGTTTCATTCCCCCAACATGCATAATCATTTTTCCAATTCCTAAAAATACTCCCATTGTGCATTTTAAAAATTGGAATTTCATTAAACCTATGAATTAATCTGCAGAGGACTGATAATATTGACAATATTTAGTCTTTCCATCTAGTATCAAATATGGTATTCTAAGTCTTCAAGTCTTGATTTATGTCTCTCAGCAGTTTTCTAAGTGTTAGTTGTATAGGTCTGTGACGGCAGGAATTCTGTCCACTTCAATCACATTTATATATATTCCAGGAACCTAATACAAAACCTGACATTAGGAGACAGTAAGTATTGGTTGAATAATGAATGGGTCTCCCATATTTCTTGTTAAGTTTATTGGTAAAATCCTAGGTATTTTGCAATTTGTTATCATTGAGAATATAATACTTTTCTATTGTATTTTTTGAATTGGCAACAATCTTATATAGAAATTTACTGATTTTGTCCATTTATCTTATATACTGCTCCTTAAAAAACCCCCTTATTGGTTAAAAATATTTCAGTCGATTTTATTGGGTATTTTAAGGGAGAATTGGGCTTCCCAAGTGGTGTTAGTGGTAAGGAATCCACCTTCCAATTCAGGAAACACAAGAGACGCAGGTTCCATCTTTGGTTAAGGAAGATCTGCTGGAGAAGAAATGGCAACCCACTCCAGTATTATTGCCTGGGAAATCCCCTGGACAGAGCAGCCTCATGGGCAACAGTCCATGGGGTCACAAAGAGTAAGACACGATTGAGTGACTGGACATACACACACAAGGGAGAATTATTTTTTTCTTTAAAAAAATAATAATTGGACTTTCATTTCTGTTTTACATCTTATTTCAGAAACCAGAACTTCTACAATAATGTTAAAAAGTAAAGATAAGAAAAGGTGTATTTATTTTCCCTAAATTTTATTAAAGCTTCTGTTTCTATGTTAAATATGATGTTGCTTGTTGATTTGAGATAGGTATTATTCTCATGTTAATGAGGTATCTTCCTGCTTCTAGTTTTTAATAATGAAAAAAATTGACAGTCCGTATTTAATGTTTTCAA